CCTACATCCCTGAGGGATAAACCATCTTCCGAACCGTTCTCGAATTTTTCCCAACGTCCGGCTCGGTTTAATAAACAATGCACAAATATCGTTCAAGAGAACCTTCTAAACTCACACAGACTTACACACACACAACTTACAAAGAACAGACCTGCACGCATCGTTTTTCTTTATTTCGACCATTGGGTCCTTTTCCCTTTAGTCCTTCGTCGCCTGCCTACTTATCTATGTTTACTCTTCGATACTCAACACTAAATATACGACCATTTTCAATATACTTATTTCTACTACACTAGTCAAACTAACTGATGTATTAAAAAGTAATATTTAACAATAATAATTTTAATAGATAAATAAATTTATAGATATTTTTAAATAACAAAATGCTTAATTATTTATAGAAATCAAATGTTAGATGAAGTCGAAATTTTGAATTAAAATGGTCCGACCAATCAAAATGACTGGTATATATAGTACAAATATATTTTATACTTTTGTTGGATATTATAAAATTGCAAAAAAAGAAAAAAAAATAAAGTTAAGAAAAATACTACTTTTCATTTCTTTTTTTCTAGGTTTTCCACCCTGTACGACAGATCAGTTTCGTTGTTCAAATGCACTCTGTTTACCATTGGTATTTCGATGCGACGGTTATTTAGATTGCATCGATGGTTCTGATGAGAAAGGTTGTTCGGTGACAGCTTGTCCTAGCCACAAATTCATGTGTCCGAAGGGTGCACCAGGTGGTAAACCACTTTGTATTAATAGATCTCAGCTCTGCGATGGTAAAGTCGATTGCGAGGATGGTGCTGATGAGGAAGCTGCTTGTTGTAAGTTTTAAAAAAGAAAAAAGAAAAAAGATAAAGAAAAAAAAAAGACATTGAACTTATAATAAAAGAATTGTTTTTTTTTCTTCTTTTTCTTTTCTAGCAACTAGCATGTGCGGATCATTGGGTTGCGAGTTCAATTGTCAACCGTCTCCAACTGGTGGTGCTTGTTATTGTTCACCCGGTAGAATATTAGCAAACGATTCAAGAACTTGCATAGGTATAACTTGAAACAAATATATATTTTTTTTTAATTAATAAAACATCCGTAAAGATGTCAAATTGTACAACGTTACATTACTTGTCTTTTGTTTCTTTTTCTTTTTTTTTGGGGGATTGTTTTTTCAACAGACAGAGACGAGTGCATGGAGTGGAACTTCTGCGATCAAATTTGTGAAAACATAGAGGGTTCGTACAGGTGTAGTTGTGCACCGGGTTACGTATTACACGGAAACAACGAGTGTCGTGCTCAGAATATCTCAGCTTTCGAATTATTGGTTGCCCAAGACCGTGCTATTTGGAGGATGTCGGCTAACGGTGAGGATCCAAGGATCGTTGCTAACACAACCGGTGCCAGCGGAGTTGACTACCTTTACTCAAGGAATCTTTTGTTTTGGAGTGACATTAAAACGAGGAAAGTGCATGCGGAATCTTTGAATGGTAACATGGCTACCTCAGCATTAGACATATATCTACCAGTTTCGTGGGGTCCGGTATCGATCGCAGTTGATTGGATCGGAGATAAGCTTTATATTGTTGATTCGGTCGTTCAAAAGATAGACGTATTTGAATTGGACGGCCGATATCATGGGATCGTACTTGGATCAAATCTAACTAGCCCCTCGGATATCGCGTTGGATCCAACCGTGGGTCTGATGTTCATTGCCGACAGTAGACAAGTTTTGAGAGCAAACATGGATGGTACTTTTGCATTTCCGATCGTATCCGAGGCAGCGTACAAAGTATCCGGTATAACCGTTGATACGATAGCAAGAAGAATTTATTGGTGTGATGCATTATTGGATTATATTGAAACTGCTGATTATTATGGAAGAAATAGAGTAATTGTGGTTAAAGGATCTCAAGTACCGTCCCCGGTGAGATTGACTTTGTTTGAAAGTAAGATATATTGGACGGATAATATGAAACAGGCGGTAATGAGTGTCGACAAGAAACAAGTGAGTAATTCTATAGAAACAGTGTTCAAAGTAAGAGATGCCAAAGCTATTAAAGCTCTTCATGTATTAGCTCAGCCAGCCGTTTCGAATCCTTGTGGTAATAACAATGGTGGTTGTCAACACATGTGTATTGTTACTGCCGTATCAAGTCAAGAGAACAGTTTGGGTTATCGTTGTGCTTGTGACATCGGTTGGAGACTATCGAGCGATCTCAGAAATTGTAATTTAGTCCAAGAGTTCCTTATGTACTCCCAACAAAGATTTATTAAGGGTCGCGTATTGGATCCTGTTATAGAAGGTTTCAGCGATGCAATATTGCCAGTGGTTTCAAGAAGAGCAAGATTCGTCGGTTTAGACTATGACGCTTATGATCAATATATTTACTATAGTGATGTCTTGCAAGATGTCATTTACAGGGTACATCAAAACGGTACCGGCCGAGAAATAGTATTGGCGAGTCAAAATGAAGGTGTCGAAGGATTGGCCGTCGATTGGGCTGCCAAAAATCTTTATTACATTGACTCTCGCAAAGGAACGTTGAATGTATTGAGCACACGAAATGTAACTTATAGAAGAACATTGTTGAAAAATCTTAAACGACCACGTGCCATTGTAATTCATCCCAATCATGGATACATCTTCTTCTCCGAATGGGATAGACCAGCTAATATCAGCAGAGCACACGCAGACGGATCCAATTTGATAGTTTTTAAGAATCTAACGTTAGGTTGGCCAAACGGATTGGCCATTGATTTTTACAAAGACAGATTATATTGGTGCGACGCTTTACTCGATCACGTACAACATTCGAATCTCGATGGTACGGACGTTCGTACAGTTAATTCGAGATTAATACGACATCCATTTTCCATAGCCATACACGAACAGTGGATGTATATAACCGATTGGAGATTGGACGCTATAATTCGACTTCACAAGAAAACGGGAGAACAGGAATCGATTCTTGTTCGCGAGCCAGCCTCTAACAGACTTTACGGCGTTAAAGTATTCAGTCGTGATGTACAAGCCCATACATTGGGAAATCCTTGTTCTATAAATAATGGTGGTTGCGAAAAACTCTGCTTTGCAATACCGCATAACAATACAAATAAGAATTTTGCCACTCCTCGTTTGACTCAAGTTTGCGGTTGCCCCTACGGCGAAAGATTGCAATCCAATGGAAAAACGTGCACGGCCGATCCAGAATTGGAACCACCGGTTCAAGCTTGTCCTAATAGTTGGGATTTCACTTGTGCGAATCAAAGATGTATACCGCAGTCTTGGGTTTGTGACGGAGAGAACGATTGTTTGGACAACAGTGATGAGATGCAAAATTGTACTAAAACAACATGCGGTACCAACGAGTTCCAGTGTAAATCGGGTAGATGCATGCCTATGAGTTTCCATTGCGATTCGGAGAACGATTGTGGTGACAACAGTGATGAAATTGGTTGTCCTAACGTAACGTGCAGCAGTAATCAGTTCGCTTGTGCAAATAATCGTTGTATACCGGCTACATGGAAATGTGATTCTGAAAATGATTGTGGGGATAGTTCGGACGAGGGTGATTTTTGTGCAGCCAAAACCTGTTCCTATTTTCAATTTACTTGTCCACGATCGGGACATTGTATTCCACAATCTTGGGTATGCGACGGTGACAACGATTGTTTCGATCAACAAGACGAAGCGGATTGTCCACCTGTAACATGTGTCAGTACGTTATTCAGTTGTGCGGATAAAAAGATGTGTATTTTAGACTCGTACAAATGTGACGGTATATCAGATTGTAACGACGGTAGCGACGAACTAAATTGTCCATCATTAGCCCCGGATCAGTGTAACACCGACAAACAATTCCAATGCGTTAGTTCGTCCATTTGTATTCCAAGAAGTTGGTATTGCGATGGTACGGCAGATTGTCCGGATAAATCGGACGAACCTCCTACTTGTGAACAAGTCGATTGTCATCCTGGTTATTTCAAGTGTCAAAATTCCCGATGTGTTTTTAAAGCTTACATATGCGACGGCAAAGATGATTGCGGAGATAATTCCGATGAGGACACGACTCTGCACGCTTGCGGACCACCGGAACATAAATGCGACTCGGAACAATGGAAATGTCCAAATATAACTAACAGGTGCATTAACGTAACTCAAGTATGCGACGGCACATTCGATTGTCCTAACGGCGCTGACGAAGGAGTCGGCTGTGACTTGGGAGAATGCCAACATCAAAGTGGATTATGCAGCAACAAATGCATTCGTACACCTTTAGGAGCTCAATGTGTTTGTTCGGCCGGTGAGGAACTCGATTCCGATGGTTTTACTTGTCGGGATTTGAACGAATGCGATCCACCTGGTCGTTGTTCCCAAATTTGCATAAATAACAAAGGAAGTTATCTTTGTAATTGCGTAGATGGTTATATTCTTGAAAAGGATAAACATACCTGCAAGGCATTAAATCACAGTGCAGCATTTCTCATTATATCCAATAGGCATACTATACTTGTTGCTGATTTGCAAGAGCAAGCTTTAGAAAGAGTACCAATCAATGTAGAAAACGTTGTAGCAACTGCTAGCAACATGCACACAGGAACAATATTTTGGTCTGACATGAAATTAAAGAAAATCTCAAGATTGGAAAGAGGCAGCGATCCACAAGACGTCATATCAACCGGTTTAGATTTAGTCGAAGGATTGGCATACGATTGGATAGGTCAAAATTTATATTGGTTAGATTCAAAATTAAATACCATCGAAGTAGCCAAAGAAACTGGAGAAAGGAGAATGGTATTGGTGAAAGAGAACATAACTCAACCACGTGGAATGTGTTTGGATCCAAGTCCAGAAGCTCGATGGTTGTTCTGGACAGATTGGGGTGAAAATCCTCGTATAGAAAGAATTGGAATGGATGGTATGAACAGATCTACCATTATCAGTACCAAGATATATTGGCCTAATGGATTAGCATTGGATATCGCTAATAAAAGAGTATACTTTGCTGACAGTAAATTAGATTTCATTGACACTTGTTTGTACGACGGTAGTAAGAGAATCCAAGTGTTAGCTAGTTCACATTACTTGTTGCATCCTCATTCGCTCACGTTATTCGAAGATACGATGTATTGGACTGACAGACAATTAAATAGGGTCTTATCAGCTCATAAATTTTATGGATCTAATCCAACAGTAATATCACATTTAATATCACAACCATTATCTATACACGTGCATCATCCAGTATTACAACCGAAGTCACCAAATCCCTGCAAAGCAACGAAAGAACCGTGCGATCATCTGTGCCTTCTTTCACCAAGTAGTCCAACAGGATACACCTGCAAGTGTCAAGCTGGTTACAAATTAATCAGAGGTTTTCAATGTGTCCAAATTGATTCCCCATATTTGATGGTATTACGTGGATCACAAATCGTAGATATTTCTTTAACACCTGGCGACACTAAAACCGGTTACATAACTCCGGTTGTTGGAATAGAAAATGGTCGGGTTATTGATTTCGATAGAAAAGATCGTATAATTTATTGGCTACAAGGAAAAGAATCTGACGAAGAAAATGGTACGATTTATACCATACCGTATGACGGTGGAAATAAAACAGAATTTCCAAATCCTGCTGGTGATTCCGGTATCGTTGGATCACCCTCCACCATGGCTTTCGATTGGTTCGGTAGAAATTTGTTTATAGGAAACCGATATGCCTCCAACATCGAGGCTATTAAAATTGATGGAAAAACTAGATTTAGGACAATTGTATTAGCGAACGACGGTAACAGAACGTCCGTAGCTAGGCCGAAATCTATGTGCGTTGAACCAATCGATGGACATATATTCTGGGTTGACGATGGTGGTTTTGGTATACCGATGAAAATAGGAAGAGTGAATATGGACGGTACTAATCCAATCGTGCTTGTGGATAATGTTGAAAAGCCAGTGGCCATAACGATAGATATTCCAAGTAAAACAGTTTATTTCAGTACGGAATATCCAACATTTGTGATGGCCATGAGCACAGATGGCCGAAACGTTAGGACTATTCTTTCAATTGCCAATAATATTGCTTTGCCAAAGGCTTTAGCTGTTCACGAATCTAAATTGTATCTTCTGGATCCTGTATATGATAAAATTGAAAGGGTAGACCTTCCTAATGGTGACAATCCTACCACCATAGTTGACAACGATTCAGAATTAAAGACCATGATTATCTATAAAAAACGCATTGCCGGATCACACCCTTGTCTTGTTAACAACGGTGGTTGCGAACAACTATGTTTCCCAGCTTCAGGAGGAACCAGAGTATGCGCTTGCGGAATGGAATATCGTAAAGTTGACGAGACCAGGTGTGAACCTTTCAAAACATTCGCTGTGGTATCTCAATTGGATGTGGCAAGAGGATACAGTTTGAAGGATGCCAAAGAAGCTATGGTACCCATTGCTGGTACTGGTCATCATATTTTACACGTGGACGTTCATTATGCGAATAATTGGATTTATTGGGTTGAATTTAATCGCGGAATATGGAACGGAATTTTCCGTATAAGACCAAACGGAACGGAACTTCAACAGATTATTAAACAAGGAATAGGCTCTAATGGTATACGTGGATTGACCATTGATTGGATAGCTGGCAATTTATACTTCGCTAATGTTTTCCCTCACGATAATTACGTAGAAGTTTGCAGACTCGATGGTAGCCACAGAAAAGTCCTTATAAAGACGATGACCGATGCACCAAGAGAATTAGCAGTTAATCCCATAAAAAGATATTTATATTGGATCGATTACGGACAATATCCTAGAATAGGTAAAGCATTTTTAGATGGTAGCAATTCATCGTCCATCGTTACATCTGGTATCAGCACACCACGCGATTTAACCGTAGATCCTGTGACTCATGATCTTTATTGGGTTGATTCGAAATTGGACACGATACAGAAGGTATCCTATACCGGTGGAAATCGTCAGATAATACGTAGAAATTTGCCAAATCCAATGGGCGTTGCAATTTATGGGGACGAAGTTTATTGGGTCGACAGAAATTTGGCTACGGTATTTAAAGCAAGCAAATACCACGGCAATACGAGCTTACCAACACCTGTTAGAACTAATTTACCTAAATTAAGGGACATCGTTATATTCGATCAGAAAAATCAACCGACAGATTTCACGAATCAGTGTTCAACATCCAACGGTGGTTGTGCACAGCTATGCTTTGCCTTTCCCAATGATCGATTTGTATGCGACTGTGCTACCGGGAAATTGGCTAGTGACGGTGAAACCTGTGAGAATATGAACGAGTATCTGGTATTCGCTACGAGAACGGAAATAAGATCTATTGGCTTGGATCCACGTAACACGAGTCTTCCATTCAATCCAATTAGTAATTTCACTAACGTTGCTGGTATTGATTTTGATTATGCCGATAAAAAGCTTTTCTTCACGGAAATAACACCTTGGGCACAGATAGCATGGATGCAAGCTGAGAATCCATCCTCAACAGAAATGCATACACTTTTGAGCAAGGATATCAATCCAGAAGGCATATCGTACGATTGGACACAAAAGAAAGTATACTGGGCTGATTATACTAATAATAGTATTTATGCTATGAACTTAGATGGTTCACACATGGTCATGATAGCCAGAGTTAACAGACCTAGAGCCATAGTTGTAGATCCTTGCAACGGGTCGCTCTATTTTACCGATTGGGGTCGTTTCGGTACTTCGGGAAAGATCTTCCGAACTACCATGGCTGGTTCATTGAAAAAAGCAATCATTGATAAGGATCTATTGCAACCAAGTGGATTGGCTATCGATTACGAGGATCGTATGCTTTATTGGACCGATGCTGTACGAGAAAAAATCGAAAGATCTGATCTCAATGGAAAGAACCGCGAAGTTTTGGTCAGCGCTACGATTTATCCATTTGCCATTACCGTCTTCCGTGAACATATTTATTGGACTGATCTTCAATTACGTGGTGTATATCGTGCTGACAAATATACTGGTGCCAATAAAATAGAATTAGTCAAACGTTTGGAGTATTCCCCTAGAGATTTGTTCGTTTATTCCGCGGAAAGGCAAAAGTGTAAGGTCAATCCTTGTAACATCAAAAACGGAGGATGTGATCAATCTTGTCATCCTGGAGTTAATGGATCGGCAGAATGTAAATGCAACGATACTAGCAGACTCGTAAACGAGGACAGAATGTGTGTGCCTAAGAACGTAACTTGCGACGCTAGCAAATTTGCTTGTAGAAATGGTCGTTGCATCTCGAGAATGTGGGCATGCGACGGGGACGATGATTGTAATGACGGCTCGGATGAAGATACCAAGTATTGTTGTAAGTATTTTTACCCCATTTTTCTTTTCAATTACTTTTATAAATTCCACCCATTATCATTTGTTCTTTTTATTGTAATTTTAGCATATCACTCGTGCAGTCCAAATGAATTCCGTTGCAACAATGGTCGTTGCATTTTCAAAACTTGGAAATGCGATCATGAGAATGATTGTCGGGATGGTAGCGACGAAGAAGGTTGCGTTTATCCACCTTGCGCTCATGGCGAATTCACTTGCGACAATTATCGTTGCATACCACAATCCCAAGTTTGTAATGGAATTAATGATTGCAAGGACAGTCAAACGTCGGACGAAACCTACGATCGTTGTCCGCAAAATACCACTTGTCCGCAGAATTATTTGAAATGCGAGAAAACCAATATCTGCGTAGAACCTTATTGGCTTTGCGACGGGGACAACGATTGCGGTGATAACAGTGATGAGAATCCTTTACATTGCGCACAAAGAACTTGTCCACCCAATAGTTTTCGTTGTCCAAATCACAGATGTATTCCAGCTACTTGGTATTGTGACGGAGATGACGATTGTCTCGATGGTAGTGACGAACCACCTGGTTATTGTCAATCCGAAGGTAGAACTTGTTTCGGTGATTTGTTCACTTGCGACAATGGCAATTGCATTCCAAGAATTTACATTTGCGATGGCGACAACGATTGTTTGGACAATTCCGATGAAGATGAAAGACACCAATGCAGTAAGTACTTATTAATATATACATACGAGTATATATGTTACAATAAACATTTGTTTATTTATTTTGATATCCATAGATGACAGGAAATGCGACGAAGAAACCGAATTTACGTGTACCGCCAATAAAGTATGGAACCGAGCACAATGTATTCCAAAGAAATGGTTGTGCGACGGTGATCCAGATTGCGTGGATGGTGCCGATGAAAATGTAACGTTGCATCGTTGTCCTGAACCAACTCCATGCAGTGAAAATCAATTTATGTGTAACAATGGACGTTGCCTTAATCGAAATTGGCTTTGCGATCATGACAATGATTGCGGTGACGGTAGCGACGAAGGAAAGATATGCAACTCACAATACAAACAATGCACGGCTCAAGAATTCACTTGTCAAAATTTCAAATGCATTAGAAAACAATTCCGTTGCGACGGCCAAGATGATTGTGGCGATCATTCGGACGAAGTTGATTGTCGTAAGTAATTCTGATATTTTTATTTTAATTATCAAATGTTATTTATCAGATGGAACATAAAAATTGTGAAATATTTTTACAGCATCCAAAATTAAAAATACAACTTGTCCTAATCCCGGAGAATTTATGTGCGCCAACGGATTCTGTATAGATCAACAATTAGTTTGTAACAAAGAACCAGATTGTCCTGACGAAAGTGACGAGCCAGCTCATTGTAACGTTGACGAATGTGCTCGTCCAGAATTGAATCAATGCGGACATAGATGCGTCGATACACCGACCAGTTATTACTGCGAATGCAATCCGGGATATAAATTATTGGAGGATGGTAAAGCTTGTGCTGATATCGATGAATGTATTGAAATGCCTCAAGTCTGTAGTCAACAATGTGAAAACACCCCGGGTGGATATTATTGTAAATGTAACGAACGTTGGTACGAGAGAGCTGCCGATGAACATACTTGCAAAAGGAGAGACAACATAGAACCATGGGTTATATTCACTAACAAATATTACGTTAGAAATATGTCAATTGATGCGAAAAGATACAGTTTGATGCATCAAGATCTGATCAACGTCGTTGCTTTAGACGCTGATTATCATACGCAAGAAATGTTATACTTTTGCGATGTAACTGCTAAAACTATATACAGAGCACCAGTAGCCGGTGGCAAAAAAGAACCGATCATACGTCACGATAGTTTAGGATTGGAAGGAATTGCTATTGATTGGGTTGGAAGAAAACTCTATTGGCTAGATCGACATGCTAAACATTTGGATGTTTCTGAATTGGATGGTACCAATAGGAAAACTTTGTGGTCTGGAATAGCTGATCCAAGAGCTATCGTGGTTCATCCTGGTACTGGATATTTGTACTTCACTTCTTGGCATCTTCAGGCATATATTGGAAAACTGGGTATGGATGGTAGCAACTTCTCTCGAATTCTAACATGGGAAGACAACATCGCTTGGCCTAACGCCTTAACCATAGATTACTTTACCGATCGAATATTCTGGGCTGATGCTCATTTGGATTATATAGCGTTCGCTGATTTGGAAGGACACAACAGACGAATTGTTCTTTCTGGTCCCGCAGTACCTCACGTTTTTGCTATTACAGTATTTGATGATTACATTTATTGGACAGATTGGAATCTAAAAGCTATCAGTAGAGCAGAGAAATTCTCTGGTGCTAATTTACAAATACTACGAAATACGACACACAGGCCTTACGATATTCTCATATATCATCCATTGCGACAATTGCCTTATAACAACCCATGTGCATTAAATAATGGTGGATGTTCACATCTCTGTCTTATCGCTCCACCAGCAAGTTCTTATTTATTGGAAGGTTATGGTCAACCTGGTGTAACCTCAGCTAAATGTAAATGTCCTAATCAATACATTTTGGGCAAGGATGAAAAGACTTGTATAGCAAATTGTACAGCTGGACAACATCGTTGTGGTCCGCCCGATGAAAAGTGTATTCCTTGGTACTGGAAGTAAGTAAATTATTTGCCTCTTTCACTTGTTAGATAATATTTTATAAATATGCATTATATAATTGAATTATTTGATGAAGGTGTGATGGAGAAAAAGATTGTAAAGACGGATCAGACGAGTCTGCCAGTTGTCCTAAGCGTCTCTGTCGACCTAGCGTATTCCAATGTGCTAATGGAAATTGTACAGCTAGCGTAACCGTGTGCGATGGTGCCGATGATTGCGGTGATAAAAGTGACGAAGCTAATTGCTCATTAGAATGTCCGGAACTTGAATTTAAATGTAAATACAATGGTCGTTGTATACACGATTCATGGAAATGCGATGGGGATGCTGATTGTAATGATGGCAGTGATGAAGATCCAGCTATATGTTGTATGTATTAACGAGTATTATTGTTACAAAACATATTTCATCAATTATTTATAATTCTTACGTTTGTTTAGATAACCGTGCATGCGATCCGCTTACGGAGTTCAGTTGTAAAAATGGAAAATGTATACCAAAATTATGGATGTGCGATTTTGACAACGATTGTGGTGACGACAGTGACGAACCTGCTTACATGTGTCGTCAAAGGAACTGTACTATAGGTTGGCAACGTTGTCCAGGACACGCCAATTATCGTTGCATACCTAAATGGCTTTTCTGCGATGGGAAAGATGATTGTCGCGATGGTTCAGACGAACGTCCCGAAAGTTGTCCAAAATGTGATCCTAACATGGACTTCAAGTGTTCAAACAATAGATGCGTACCAAAGCAATGGATGTGTGACTTTGCCGATGATTGTGGTGACGGTAGCGACGAGGCAGAATCCATTTGCAAAGGAAAATATCGAGAATGTTCTGAATCAGAATTTAAATGTAAAAATGGCAAGTGCATATCTTCAAGATGGAGGTGCGACAGTGAGGACGATTGTGGTGATAACAGCGACGAAATGGATTGTCAACGATACGAGTGCGAGGTGCGTACAAATAATATTTTTATTTATTTCAATATTCTCATAATTTGTTGATTATTATATCAATTATTTATTGTAATAGAACAACACATTCCAATGCAACAGCGGCCATTGCATTGCCGCTTATCTACAATGCGACGGTACACGTGATTGTCGCGACATGAGCGATGAAGTTGGTTGTCCACCAAGATATCCCGGTGGACGATATTGTCCACAATCACGATTCGAATGCGAGAACAAACTTTGCGTATCTTTATCCGATAAATGTGACGGAAGTGACGACTGCGGTGACGGATCGGATGAAAATCCATCCATGTGTGGTAAGTTGTTTTATATATATATATATATATATATATTCTTTTATAATTCTAACAAAACCATTTTATATTCAATATTTATTAATTGTTATACTAATTAACGTATTATCTTCGTCACAGCCAATTTCAATTGCGATACATTGAGAAGATTCCAATGCGCCAATCACAGGTGTATCGCTAGATATCAATTATGCGATGGAATAGACAATTGTGGAGATGGTTCGGATGAAAATAATATGACCATGTGTGCTACTAGAATTCGTTCTTGCGATCCAATTACGGAATATCAGTGTGCTAATAAAAAATGCGTGGAGAAAACGAAATTGTGCGATTTTGCTGACGATTGTGGAGATTCGTCAGATGAATTGGGATGCCGTAAGTCATTTGTATTCTTCACTTTCTTTTTAATTTCACAAATACGAATCTTGTATTAAACTAACTTGTTTCAATTTATTATTAAAGATCACTTCAAGCCTTGTTTGGACAGCAACAAAGGTGGTTGTTCACATTATTGTCACAATATAACTGACGGCGGATACATTTGTGCTTGCTACCCTGGTTACATAATTTCCAGAGATAATAGAAAACGTTGTGAAGATTTGAACGAATGTGCAACAGGACAACATCAATGTTCACAAATTTGTACAAATATTAATGGATCTTACGCGTGTTCTTGTCGACAAGGATTCCAATTGTCGGATAATTTGAGCGGAGTTTGCCGAGCTGAAGATGACGAGGCACTGCTATTGTTTGCCAATGGACAAGAAATGAGAGCTTACAATTTCCGTAATAAAGAAGAGATAGATGTAATTGCTCATGAAAAGAGAATACAAGCTGTTGATATTGATCCAGCCAATGAATACGTTTTTTGGATAGATTCACACGACAATACGATTAAACGTTCATACATGGTAAACGCCAAGGATGGTGAAGCTAAAATTGGTTATGCACAGGATTTGGATATGAAAAGTAATTATATAGTTCATTTAATATCTTTTTGTTATGCAATCAAAAAATATATTTCTATTTTCTTGTTCATTTGCAGCTGATTCAAGACCAACTGGTTTAGCGGTGGATTGGATTTCTGGTAATTTGTATTGGAGTGAAGTTGACGATACCGGTGTTAGATCACTTGGAAGAATAATGGTTTCGAAATCTGATGGAAGGTATCGTCGAAGTCTCGTAACTACGGATTTAGATGGTCCAACTGCAATTGTTTTGGATCCTCAACTTGGTCGGCTTTTATGGGCGGATTCTGGTAATCAACCAAAGATTGAAATTGCTTGGATGGATGGAGAGAAACGTAAACAATTGGTTACCGATAGAATTGGCAAGCCATCGTCTTTGGCTATCGATTATGCGATGGATCATACGCTTTATTGGTCTGATAGTAAATTGAATACCATTGAGTCTATAAGATTAGATGGTACCAATCGTAAGCTCATATTGAAGGGTGAAAGTTTGAAATATCCAGTGTCCTTGGATGTATTTGAAAATAATTTATATTGGACGACCAAACAAACGGGTGAATTAATAAAACAAGACAAATTTGGTAGAGGTGTTCCACAAATTTTACTCAACGACATTGTCACTCCTGGTGGAGTTAAAATTTATCATCAATTGAGATACAACACAACGTTACGTGATCCCTGTTTCAATAATGAATGTACACATCTGTGTGTAGCAGTACCAAATGGACACAAATGTTTGTGTCCAGATAACGTTGGTCCACACATATCCAGCGAAAGACATTGTGATGCACCTCAACAAAGAGCACGACCTGCTCCCAGAGTATGTCCATGTCAAAATGGTGGTCTCTGTCAAGAAGTTGTCGACAATAAATTGAAATGCGCTTGTCGACATAACTTTGATGGAGAATTTTGTGAGATAGGTGTCATGGTTGCGAGAACTGGTAGTTCCACTGCTACCATCGTTATTCCTATTGTGGTATCAATCTTAGTTTTACTTGGAGCTGCTGCAGTTATCATGGTACTAAAGAAACGACCATTGTAAGTATCTACATTTATTGTTAATATTAAATAATAGGATTTGATAATAAATAAAATATGGTGTGCTATTGTAGTGGAAAACCGGGTGGTCTTGGTGGCCTAACTGGTGCTCAAAGTGTATCCTTTAGGCAAGGAAGTAACGTGGAATTTGGAGCAGTAGCTCATGAACGAATGGTAAGATGTCATTCTATTTCTAATAAATATTGATAATCATCAGATAAATAATTGAATAAAATAATTGACGTTAATTTTCTAGGAACCTCTCGATGTGGAGTATAATCTCAACGAAGTTAGTAACAAAAATAGAGACTTTAGTAATCCAATGTACGACGCGGTGAATATGGAAGCAGGTGCTACCAATGGCACTAGTGCTAGCAGCATGTACGAAGTGCCAGCTGAAATGAAACCTTCAAGTGTACAGCACAAAGAACCACCACAAATTCATCTTAAAAGAAGAGAACTCGATCCTACGCCTATTGATTCGGGTAAGGATACTCAACAATTGGTAGAGGAAGATAAATCTGAGTGCTAGGGTAGTTCTAACTCGAATATATAGAGAGATGCTTTCACACCTCTGTTGTACTTTGATCTCGACGACATATCTGTACTACTAAGAAGAAGAATAAGAAGAAGAAGAAGAAAATAATGAAGAGATGAAATCATGAAGAAGATGAAGTCATGTTTGTTATAATATCAATTCGTATTTTTTTAAGAGAGATTAATCTATGAAAGAAATTTTGTCAATCGCGTTGATCAAAACAAAACAAAACTTCTCTTTCGTGTGTAATTAATACGAGAAGAATATTTCGTCGAACTTTTCCTTCCGAACATCCGAGTATCAATTTTGTTTTTTTCTCTCCCTCCCTCCCTCTCTCTCTCTCTCTCTCTCTCTCCCTTTCAAGTTACCTTTTTTTTATTTAATGTTGTTTATTTTATTTTATTTTATTTATTGATAATGCAAAGATCGATCTTGTGTTACGTTTTCTAAATAAAGAAACACATATCCTTGTTTCTTAATTAGTGCAGATATATACATATATATATTTCGTAATCCATTCTACTGTATTACACACACACTTTTGAAAATATTAAATAATAATAATAATAATAAAAAAAAAAGAAAGGAAAAGAAAAGAAAGTGGACTAAGGATGATAAAAAATGAGTAATCGAGATCTGAATATAGCAATAGACACGACGATATTTCATTGTGTCATTCATTTATTTAGGTGTGACTTTTGTAAGTCTTTGTAAATATAATCGTTAAAAATATTTTCATATTATTCGTGTACCATATATATTAAAAAAAAAAAAAAAAAAAAACAACGCAACACATTCCATTCTCTTTCTCTCTCTCTCTCTCTCTCTCTCTTTCTCTCAAGGTTTTGCTTGTGAGAAGGAGGAGGAGGAGGTGTGTAGTGATAGAACAGATTAATTCTAATTAATTAATTAATTAAAGTATATATATATATATATTGTATATGTGTGTGTGAATGTAATATACATTTATTTGTATGTTAATATAATTATTATATAATACAATAATTGCATACACATAAATGTATCACGCATATTGGACCAATAAGTTGTATTTTTAAATGATAAATAATATTTTTATATAAGGTGTGTGGCAAAGTAAATAGAGAACAAAAATTTTATACTGAAACTGTGGCCAACTAATAATTATAATTAATGAAATAACATTTGCGACGATAATATACGAAGAAGAATTGTTTTATATTACAGTTTATATAACCAGTTAAGTAAGTGTGCGCATAGTGCGCGCTCTGGTGTGTGCCACGATAATCAAGCGATGACGGTTATAGTCGTCGAACACAGAATAAATGGCGCTGTTCAAATATTGATGGGTTAGTCAATAAGACGACAACTTTATTTTAGAACAATGAACAATTTTTCTTAGTTATGTATAAAACACTGTTTTTTAAATATGAACATATATTTATACATAATAAATGACAAAATTAAAGAACAAAAAATCGAATATTTAATAGATGTTACAAATTTGTACTTGACTCTTTTTTGTTTGTTCACTTCTAAACATTGACAAAAACATATTACAAATTTACGAATACGAATTTAGTTTTTTTTTTTTTTGTATGCCAAAGTTACAATTTTAAACCATCAAATTGTAAGAAAGTTTTAACGCATGACGAATATAATCGTAATCAAACACACGCTTAACTGGTTAATGAACTTTTTACAAGTAAACAATTCCATGCGATGCGTTTGTTAATAAAAATAAAAGAAAAAGAAAAAAAAAAGCAAAAACGACGATAAAAACTCCTGTGTTAAGGATTATTAATAATAATAATAATAATAATATAATAATTATAATAATAATAATAGTATAATAACATATAAATTATATATATTATAATAATATATTATTACATATATATATATATATATAAATAGAAGTTATATGAATGAATTAAAAGATTAAAAATAAATAAATAAATAAATAAATAATAATAATAATAGTACGTAAAAAATAAATAAATAATTGTTAATTATTAAGTGATCGATTTTGATTAGAGAAAAAAAAAAAAAATCATTTGGTCGGCCACATCAATGTTATATTGTACATTTTTTTTTACTCTTAAGAATATTATTAATAATTATTAAATAATAATGGGTAAGGTCAGTGTAGAATTTTTCTTCTGCATTATATATCTGTGATTACAATTCTCGTATAAATTGAAAAAAAAGAAAATGATTAATGAAAGAAAAGAAAGAAGGAAAAATAAGTTTTACTTTGTGTATGTTTCTTATTATAAATATATATATATATATATATATATATATAAATATTACGTTGAAAAATAAATAAAAATCATTGAAATTGAATGAATTTTTTGGATTATCATTTTAATTGGATGAACGAGGAGATTTCTTTGATTATTTTCAGACTATGTTTAATTGTGTGTGTGTACATATGTATGGTCCTCCATAAAATAAATGGAAGAAAACAAATGAACACTGGCTGACCTGTTAATTAATAATAATAATAATTATAATACGTTAACAATTTCTATATATATATATATATATACATAGGGGTGCCCCGCCACATGTTGCTGTGACTCACAATCAGTCCGATACACACGTCTTTAAGTCAACGAATTACCTTATACCCCCATCTGTTAGAATCTTAACAAACTAACAGAGATAATAATGACTCTTTGTTAATAAACAAATAATATTGCGATTATAAATTGAGATATAAACTATCCTATCTTTCAAGTTGGATGAAACTGCACACAGTGTGTAAAATTTGATTAGAATCAGTTCAGTAGTTTAGGAGTCCATTGCGGACAAACAACGTGACACACGTCATTTATATATATTAAGAAGATATATATATATATATATTTTGTTGCAATCGACTTTGACGACCTGGGCAGGGTTCCAGTGTGTGTGTGTGTGTATCCTAATATTATTATTATTATTATATAATATATCAGTATTTTGTGTATTTTTTTATCAACTTAAATATAACAAAATAATTATTGTTAATAATATATTGTGCAAATATCAAACAGATACCGTCCAAGAATAATAAAATATAAGGCTTGACGATTTTTAAGTTTTACCTATACCTGAGAAACATTTTTGATAGAAAATAGGTTATTATTTGTAGTTTAGAAAACAAACCTTTCTATTCTTTTTTTTTTTTTTTATAAATATAAGACCATAACACACAAGGTGTTTTACAAAATATTTTAGTATAACTTCAGTGATGAATCAATCCACCATGTTTGTTTCATCTAAATTGTTGTTTGAGAGAGTACCAAATTTGTAGTTTGCAATTGTTTAATACCAAAAAATTGCTCAAATTTGGAAAGAAGTGTATTGAAACAACCTTGAAAGTTATGCTACTAACATATTTTAATTATTCAAAATTATCAAACAAATTTCACATCATTTTTGTTTTGAAAAATACAAACTAAATGAAAGAATAAAAATCAAATTTTGATAAATTTGGGCACACTTAGATTGATACTTTTTATTATTAATAATAATAATAATAATAATAATAATCATAATCATAATATTAAATAATTAATAGTATTAATAAAAGAAGAAATAATTAATTTAATGATTTACCTATTTGTTTGTTTGTTTTTTTTTCATCATCATTACTCTTTGATTTCTTTTTTGTAGATATGTTGATTTGTGTTTTTAACATTCAATGTTAAATTGAATCTTACATAAGAGATGTGTTCTAAAAATACTTTTTAAAGCTACATGATTATTTGTCAACACTTGTTTAGAAGACGAAAACTTATTTTGCATTCAACAACAACGTGCAATAATGTCAGAATAATTTGGTCGTACTCAAAACAAGGACAAATTGAATATATTTAAACAGGTACATTTTCATCATATTTTTACAGTCTTATATCTAAGTAAACAAAATGTTATATATATATATATATATATATATATATATATATTCTTATCTTATTAATTAATGTCTATTTTAGACAACATGTTTGCTTGAAGAGATTAGAAGAAGAAAAAATGAAAGATACAATGCATTATAAGTTTAGTAAAAATAGTTATTTATCTAAATGAAGATAATTTGTATATTTTTATATAGAAAAAGATAAAAAAAAAAAAAAAAGTGTATAGTTCATAGTCTAAAGAGTACGACCCTAAAATCATATTACTTACCACATTCTCAACTATTTGTAATTTGATTTATATCAAAGTTAAAGACATTCTTTATGCGCACACTCCGTTCTGCAGTGTTCTCTTCTAAAGAAGATAACTTGGATCAGTGCCGTTTGGTACATCATCAACGAAAGAGGCAAGTTGAAACATTTATCAAAATTGTCTAACTTTTTTTCACATATTAATTTTACTGACATTACTATTGTACGATGGATGTCATCATTGTAAATGAGTTGAAACGTTCACCAAAATTACAACACTTGTTTTATTTATTATTATTATTCAACATATTTTGCACGACCTAAGTAATGAATGAATTAATCTGTTAATAGAAATATTAAATGTGAAGTTGAAAATATATACAGTATTATATATTTAAACAGTGTGTCATTAGAATATCAAAACAATAACGTGACTTAATTACTAACTAATTACGTCGGTAATGAAACAATCGCTCGGTAATGTAGTTGATCGTGTTATCGACAGTATAGTGAAAGTTAAATGTAGTTCGGGATAAATCCGCTAGGACAAACGTTTTCGACGAGATCCAAAATTCTTTTCTTTTTTTTTTACATTTCTGGTAATTTTTACATATTACGTCGACTATCCTAAACGCATGGATTACATATACGAAAGGATATTTCTTCTTGAATTATTTTTATCTTCCACAGTGAAAGTGTGAGTGTCAATTTTTTATTTATAAAAACAACATTTTGATTATCGAAATTTCGTGAGTGTAATTTTCTTTATTTATTTTTTTTTTTTTTTTATCATTTAAATATTTTATTATAAAATTTAATATCTGAATAATATATATATATATTTTTTTTTTCAAGTTATCGGATACTTAACTGGTTGATCTTGAATTTTGAAATGTCTAATATTACATAGAAATAAAATTTGATACGATTATTTATCTATACGTAATATGTGTTATCGAACCGGTGCATTAAATCAATGCACTGACGTGATTTTATTTATTTCTATCTTTCACACTTCTTATTATCTTACGTTAGATGAAAAATTCAAGATATTCGAGATTCAGTTATCGATGATATAATAATCCAAATTAATCGTATTATTAATGTATATCTTATCTTCAATATTTAACTGATAAATGTGTTCTTGTATTCAGATATCGATTTTACGTTACAGTAATGACGGACGTGCTAGATATTTTTATTTATCTATCGAATAACAAACAAGTAGAAATAGAAATTGAATGGAAACAAAATTTGCCTTAGTAACAAATCAAAAAAGAAAAAAATTCTATGTAAAATCTATTTTTAAAGATTTTTAACAATCATATGAAATAATTAAATGGTCATATGATTGACTTGTATATAATTCAAAATAAAAGTCAAAACAACTTCTTTTATCTCGTAATCTTTCTTATCTCATTTAAAGATTAAAATTAATCAAGCAAACCATTTCGCGTTCGTATACATTTTTCAAAATATATAAAATAAAAAATGAACAAATTGATTTTTTTCTATAGGGTGTAACCAATAAAAAAAGGAAACAAATAACCAGAAGTATCTCGTCAATGAAATAATAAATGAACGTTACTTAATACCTTGAAAAGAAGTTGAATTGTTTTTAAAGTAAATTTCAAAGAGAAAGAGAGAGAGAGAATGAAGTGCGTCCTGTTATTAGATAATAATAAAAAACAATAAAGAAAAGTGTGTAGTTGGTGCGCGAAACGAGAGGAACCGAGCGTTGAACGTAGAGGAACGAGACGAACCGAAATAAAACGAAGTTGAGCCGAAGTAACACGAAATTGCACGGCTCCATATTGAATGTGTGTTGGTGGTGATTATCGTGTTTGGTTAATACTTTGCTGTGTGTTACGACTATAAGCTATATAACACGCACGTTAAGTGCTTAATATATGTCAACATATGAGAGATAAAGAGAAACATATAGAGGAATAATAAAAAAGAAAAAGAGAGAGAGAGTAAAATAGAGGGGAACGTTGAAACAGCATTGTGTTACATACACACATACACACACATATATATACACATATTAAAATATATATATATATATTCATATATATAGGTGAAAAAGATACTTGAAAGAGATGTCAAAAAAAGGAGTTGTTATGGCTGCAGCGGGCTGGCCCAGAGCATGGGAACGTGGGGGTCTGATAGGTGCAGGAGTAGGAGCTACCGTTGGAAGGAGAGCTGCTAATCGTTCGCGTCTGTCGAGTATACGACCGGTAGTTCTGCCGGTGGCTGTTGATACGACGGTTGTGAATCGCACTATGGCAACTACTGCTTCTAACAATATGAAAGTCCTTAACGAGGACAACATTTATGAGAATATCAAAAAAATGGAATACGCCGTGCGCGGTCCTTTATTGATACGTGCAAACGAATTGGAAAAAGAATTACAAAAGGTAAGAAATTCCACCGTTCCTTTTGTTTATAATAAGTTCTTTTTTATTTTTTTTTTTTTACTGTGTTCTTATTGGTTGTTCCTTTTTTCGTGAAAATTTCATTTTTATAAAATTGCGCGAATCAAAATAATCGATAGAAAAAGAACGAATCAGAAAGAGGGACAGAGAGAGAGAGAGATAGACAAGTATTGACAACCGTGAGATTAGACAATTGAAGGTTGTATTTGTCAAAAAAAAAAGCCGGTAACAATTTAAAACGAGTTTCTCATTTGAATGAAAGGCGCGAATTTTCAAAGGAAAATCATTTTGTTAAATTCGAATAATCTTTACGTTCGTAATAATTGATGACACATAAAACCGGTTTACCGCCATTTTTATTTTCTCAAGATCATCAGCTTTCGCATTTGCGTGTATGCGTGCGTGCGTGTGTATACAACACAACCAACCACCTGTCACATTTTCTCTTGACACTTTTACAAGGTCTTCTCTCTCGTTGTTGTTGATGTTACGAAATGCAATGTTGATATTGTTCGAATTTAAAAAAAAAAGGAAAATATTTAATCGATTTGATTGTACCGCGTATAGTTGGTTATGTCGTATTACGGATTAGATTAGATGACTGGATATAGATCTATAAATAGTTAGATAGATACTTTTGCGATATTGAAGTAGAAATTATGCATGCAGCATTCGTAAATGTAAAGAATTGTATGATGATGATGATGATGATGATGATGATGATGATGCACACTCACGAGAAGTCGCGTGATGACGTTTAGCTAATTTTATAATACTTAACGCGTTTAATATTAATACTATTTCTTCTTGCTTTCAGGTTCCAACTAAAAATGCGTAGTTGTATCGTATAACATATTGGCAATATTTTCATATTATACAATAATATAGATTTTTTTTTTTTGTAATAACTATAAATAATTATAATATATACAAAATGTATTGTAATATTTGGGACACACCACAGAAGTCAATGATATGTTTCTAAAATTTGTTAATCTGATGATGTCAAATACAATAATAGTTTTAAAACAAGCTAAAATATTAAAATCCAATTACGAACTTGTAATTTAAAAATAAAAAAAAACAAACATCTCCAAAAATAATGAAATATTTCTTGTGAAAGAACTGAGCTTTAAAAATGGAATATTATCCAAATTAAAATGACTACATTTAATTACTAGAATATGTGACATCAATGTGAATAAAAAAAAAAGTAACACACAAAACACTGTTTCGAAATACAAATCGAGGATTATTATGATAAACGTTTTATATAAAGATAAGTTATCTCGCGTTTATATGAACTTACTTTTGTAATTATTTTTTTGATCACTTCTAAAAATAAATTCCCATATATTACATAGTATATGAAAATTACAACAAATAATTTCAATTGAGACTATAGTGTAAGCTATAGTTTATGTAACACAGATAATCTATTTAATTAGATACATCCTGCATAGTCATAGATATGTATATACGATACTATATATATATATATTCTGACAAATAATTTTCGTTGTTGTAACAGGGTGCTAAAAAACCATTCAAAGAAGTGTTGAAAGCAAATATCGGAGATGCTCATGCCATGGGACAAAAGCCTATTACATTTTTACGTCAAGTATTAAGTTTAACCACGTTACCATCACTCTTGGACGATCCCAGTTATCCGGAAGATGCTAAATCTCGTGCCAGAGCGCTTCTTCAAGCGTGTAGAGGAAGTGTCGGTTGTTACACCGAATCCGTGGGAATGGAAATTGTTCGTAAACACATAGCGCAATATATCGAAGAACGGGATGGTATACCGAGCAATCATCAAAATATTTTTCTCGGCAATGGTGCATCCGATGCTATCAAAGTATGCAACTAAATTACACGATAATTGTCAATTGTTTTTAATTTATATTTTGATCTAATCATTGTATTTGTTAATTCTAGTCCGTTTTGAAATTATTTGCACAAAGGATTGATAACAAACCAACAGGAGTTATGATTCCAATTCCACAATATCCATTGTACAGTGCAACCATATCCGAATTTGGTCTTGGTGAAATTGGTTATTATCTCGATGAAGATAATAAATGGGCATTGAATATTAGCGAATTGGAAAGGTCGTTAAATGAAGCAAAAAAATGGAGTAATCCTCGTGTATTAGTTGTAATCAATCCTGGAAATCCAACTGGTCAAGTATTAAATCGGTCTAACATAGAAGACATACTTCGATTCGCTCACAAACATAAACTCTTCATATTTGCGGATGAAGTTTATCAAGATAATATATATGATAAGGATTGTTGTTTTCATTCGTTCAAAAAAGTTGCCGTTGAATTAGGACCACCTTACGATCAAATGGAATTGGCCTCTTTCATGTCTATATCAAAAGGTATCATTATGAACAATTAATCAATTTATTATTTATATTATTTGTAATATGTGTACAAATTCTAAAATATGTCTTATTTTTATTAGGATACATGGGAGAATGCGGTATACGTGGCGGTTACGCAGAACTCGTAAACATTGATCCAACAGTTATGAAATTATTACAAAAGTCAATCTCTGCCATGTTATGTCCGACCGTTTTAGGCCAAGTTGTGATGGATGTAGTAACGAATACACCTAAACCTAATGAACCATCTTACGCAAAGTTTGAAGAAGAAAAACGTAATACTCTGTTGTCATTAGCGGAAAGATCGAAATTAGCTGTAGATATGTTGAACAGTATTCCCGGTTACAAGGTGGTATTATTATTGCAATTGTTTCTTTCTGATATATCTTTTCAAATTAACTGAAAGATTAATCATCTTTTTTTACAGACTAATCCATCTATGGGTGCGATGTACGTGTTTCCACGATTTGAGATACCACAGAAAGCCATAGAAGCAGCCAAAGCTAAAGGCCAAGCGCCGGATCTCTTTTATGCTTTTAAATTGTTAGAAGAAACTGGAATTTGTGTTATTGCCGGTTCAGGTTTTGGCCAATTACCTGGAACATATCACTTCAGAACGACCATTTTACCGCAAAAAGAAAAGATGATAACTATGTTGACTAGTCTGAAAGAATTTCATTTAAAGTTCCTCAAAGAGTACAGTTAAAAACAAAAATAATTCAACTGTGTTCGCGATGCATTTTTTTTTTTTATTTTTATTTCTGCACAAACATAAATTGCGTGAAAATCGTCTTTTACTCGGATCCGATTACTCTAACATCACACGTTTCAAAACAAAACTACGTTTGTGCTTCTTGTTATATTGTTTAATGAATACTTGTAAATAGATGAGTAAAAGTGCAATTATATTAAAAGAAAAAAAAACAAAAAAAAAGAGAGAAAGAGAGAAAGAAAACAACGAGTATCAGTCATCGTCTCGGTTCTAAACTATATATTACTATTTACTATTTATCAATAAATGTACTATACTATGTCTAAAAAGTTCATATATTTTACAACTTATATTCAAATTATATATTCATTTTTTTTTTTTTTTTAGATATTATATGCATATACGTGTTTTAAAATTTTATTTACACGATACGTCGTCATAAGTAGTTTGAAAAAAAAAAAGAAAAGAAAAGAAATGAATTTTGATACTTTGAGAAATATTGAAAGAAATCATTTCAGAGATCAGAGGATAACCTTTCTATTTCATCGACAAAAAATCTCATGTCAGTTTTAGTCAGTCCAGAATTTTGTAATACGAGTCTGAAGAAATTAGGAAGATTACGTAAGGATTGATACGTGATTAGCATTGATCCTTTACGGACCATACGCTCTTTGATAATTGGAGCAATTTTATGCAAAAGATTGGACAATTGTTCGCCTTTTAAATGACGTTTCGATGGTGGTGTATACCAGAAACAAACGTTGGTACATTCAGGCTCAAATATGAGCTTCCATCCTTCTCGTTGGCGAATGTAATTCGTAAAAAATTGTGACAATTCGAACACACGATCGATGTGTTTTTCAAAACCATTTGTACCTTTGGCCTTCCACATTAACCAAAATTTCAATACGTCAGCTCTTCTGCCACATTGTATATGTTTGTCACCAGAATCGTAAGAAGTATCGTAAAACTTGTCAGGTTGAAACAAATAGCTCGCTTTGGAGGCATGCGCCGATTCCAATAAACCTTCGTGGTGTACCAAAAGGGTTGAACATTGTTGTGGTGCTGCAAGCAACTTGTGAGGATTCCAAGTAATCGAATCAGCCAGTTCAATACCATCGAGCAAGAAACGATACTTCGTCGACATCAATGCACCCCCACCCCAAGCTGCATCTACGTGGAACCACATGTCGTATTTCTTACAAATGTCAGCTATTTCTTTAAGTGGATCGAATGCACCCAAAACGGTGGTACCAGCTGTTGCAGATACCATCAAGGGTACAGCCTTTTGACACAGTACTTCGTTAACACGTAATTCCAAATCCTTTAAACACATTTTACCACGTTCGTCAACTTTAACGCAGTAAACGTTACTAGTACCAATACCAAGAAAAGCTGCCAATTTTTTAACAGAATAATGAGCATCCTCAGATGTAAATATCACCAGCCTAGAAACCTCAGTCGAACCAGTTTCCTTGTACTCCGGGAATTTATAATGACGCGCCAAATTGATGGCATAACCATTGGCCATTGAACCACCAGGACAAAATATCCCATCACCTTGACCATCTTCCCAACCAATTATTTTCCTCATTTCTTTCAACACTTCATTCTCCATCAAAGAAAATACCGGTGATACCTCGTAAGTGTAAACGGAGGGGTTCAAAGCATCGGTCAACCATTGACCTGCTAAACCATAAGGATCCACGCTGGAAAACAGTTGATTGACGAAATGTGGATGACCCGTTTTCACACTGTACTTAATAATATTTCGTGTTAATGATAATAATTCTTCTTGGGGTACTCCATTCATTGGCAAGGACAAATCTATTAGAGAAGATAGGGTCTTTGGTTCAACCCATTCAACCACTTTCTCGTTCCTCAATGTACCCTGACAGAAAAAAAAAGAAACAAAACAAATAATATTCTCATTATTCTTTGTTAGAACTTATTTCAATTTTTTTTTTTACAAAATTCTAATTAAATTCTACATAATTTGTTCATTCATTCATTTTAAATGTAATTGCAAATGTCAAAGTTTTCAAATCTATGCGCTAGATGCATGCATGCATGCATCTATTCATGTCATTTATATTTTACATGTTAATGAAATCAATTTTATCAATCGATTTTCTAATGTAATATTAGTTTGTGTCCTTGTTTTAAGATGTAGAAAGCACACGTGTACATACATGCACATACACATATTTATATTATTACTTTGTATATTGTGAAATTACACATTTTGTGAGTCATGCATTCCACGTGTATATATATATATATATATATATAAATGTATATGTGCATTCAAATTTGTAAGAAGTTTATACAAAGAAATTTAATGAATGTGTAACTCGTTGAATTTGATGACGTAAATTCTCATTAATAATTATTTGAAATTTATGTTAACAATTAACGTAAATTACAATGGGTATGTATAATAATTATTTGGTTTTTTTTTTCCTTTTTTTTTTTTTTTATCAACGAGATAGTAATAATGATTTCAAAAAACAATAATAAAAGAAGTCGAAAATTATTCACGGTGCATAATAAAATTATGACTTCAGGTTTAAATCGTCTTTTTTTATTATTATTATTATTATTATTGGTTTCACTCTGTTATTACGAATTGCAAAATGATTTTTGTAATTTTCAAATGACCTTATTAAGTCAAAGATAACTTTTCCTAAGACGTAAAAATGTGCGTCATTTCCGGAAATTCAAAGAACAAAAGATATGTGCCATTTAAACGATAGATCAGGTAGGATGATTATTTCGACGAATTGATTTTTTTTTTTTGAAAGAATTACTTACAAAATTTGTCGAATTTTTTTTTCAACTATAAAAAACAAAAAACAGATGTGTGTGCAGATCACACATGATAGATAAGTGAAACCTTCAAAGAATACCAAACTTTTGAAATAATTGAATTGTAATACTACAGTGCCATCTGTTGAAAGAATCGTACAGAACTTGGATAATTTCTAAATAAAAATCTTTCAATTAGTAATAATAAATAATAAAATAAAAATTGTTCAATGTGCTAAGTTGGATAAAATCACGTGAAATAAAATTAATTTCATTTAAGATAAGTTGAATCATTTCAAAATTATTAGTGGACAAACATATTGCGACAACTGAATTTTTATATATATATATATATATATATATATATATATATATATAGAAATTTGATTAATTAATTAATTANATATATAGAAATTTGATTAATTAATTAATTAATTAGTTTTTGTTTCGTCGGTTTCACAATTTTCAAATCACCCTGATTCTAAAAAGAAATTGTCATTTCAAAAATATGAAACTTTAGTACAAATCTCAGTTATATTTAGGGATTATTTTATCAAATATTTTTAGATCCATGCAATTGCAATTTCTACAAATTTTGTTTTCCAATTTTAAAAGATCTATATATATATATATATATATATAAATGAAATATAAATAAATAAAATCATAATATAAAAAAATAATAATAATAATAAATTTACCTCGAAAACAGCTTTATCCAAAATGACATCTATAAAATCCTTTAAAAATTGTTCATGAACAATACGATTGGGTAAACTTTCATAACATCCCTTAACTTGATTAATCATTTCTTCATTATCATTTGATAAATCGTTAGATAAACATTCGTTAATGACAACTTTTGATACATTTGAATTATTCGTTACACTGTGTTGTACTTCATTTGACGACGACGACGACGACGACATTTTGAAATCATTCAAAAAAACAAAAATATTCTTAAAGAAAATTTAACTTAATTAGTAAATAAAATAACTGAATTACACGTTTGTTTGTTTGTTTTTTTTTTTTAAATAAAAATCTAAGTCATAAATCAATGTATGATTTATTCACAATAAAAAAAAGCTTCGTTAATACGTTTTTTTTTAAAAATATATGTAACAACAACAACAACAACAAGGTTTTCCTCGTTGTAATCTTCTGTTCTTCTGGTAAGAGTTCTCACAGGTCTACTGCCTTTATATATATATTAAAGCCTTAAAGACCAAGGACAAAAAACGTTGCACCTTCTTCTCCCCTCTTTCTCTCTCTATCTCTCTCTATCTATCTATCTATCTATCTTTCTCTTTCCCACACACGACGTTTTAAAGAGAACTGTCACGTTCCGCAGCTTTAACTTGATTTCTTCCTCGTGGATGATGATGGTTTCTTGGAATAACCGTATTTACCACTTCCCCATTTTCTTCTTGCAATCAGTTTTTCAAAATTAATGAGGAAAAACTGGTATTATTTATCAATATTACAATATACTAATTTATTACTTAATTTTTTATATATATATATATATATTGTTTAAAACGTTCATTTCTTTATTTTATATATATATATATATATTTTTTTTTTTTTTCAATGAAAGACAAATGACAATGTTTCAATTGAAATTTAAAACTAATCAAATTTCAATTTGGATGACTTACGTAGTAACCAATTAACGTGATGTCATTGATCGATGTATATTTTTTGAAAGTGAGCGGGAAATACAAAAATAATGAAATAATAAATCTTGAAGAAGTATGATAGAGACTTTCGAAAACTAGTCAAGCGATAAAACGTTTTTGCTCGAATTTTTAACTTACGACCTTGTTTTTCATGATTCAATAATGAACAGTAGTAAAAGTATGTGATCAATAACGATCAATAACGATCGATTTCTCTTGAATAATACAAAACGTTTTTTATTTTGATTTTATATTATGTGACCAAAAATTAAAAAAATAAACCAAATTACAAAGAAATACAATTGTATATTTGACTATTATAAAACTTTGACTTTTGATTTTTATTTAATATCTTTTTTTTTTTTTTTTAACAATTATTGTATACTGTATAAAATAGATTATATTTGATTTATCAAATGTAGTTTTTTCTTTCAAGCTTATTCCCCATATACGAGCAATTATTATTGGAAATCCCTTAAATATTTCATTTTCACTTCCTTCTTCTCAATACTCATGGGAATTCCCCATATATTTAACGATCGACAAATGTACGATCTATGATAAGGAAAGGACTTGTTGATCACTCGTTCCAATGACTCACTTGAGTAATTTTTTAAAAGTACTAATTAGTTTTTTTGTTTTTTATTTCTTTTTCTAATTCCACTTTTAATTCTCCATTCATTTATAATTAGCAACAAATAACTATACTGTAAAGTTCTATTTTTATAAAAAAAAAAATAGAATTTAAAAAAAAAGAGCGTAAATGCAAAACAAAAACAAAAACACAAAAAAAATAAAAATAAGATTTTATCTTTAATAAACAAATCTATCTATCTATCAAATATTTCCAATTATCTTCTTACGTATAATACAATTTTAATATTATATCAGTTAAATTCTTTTTACAATGGATGATCGGTTGAAAGTTCAAACAATGCTCAGCTTAAACAAAAGATAATATGTTAAGTATTATCTATCATTGATAATGATAGGTCATTTAGTTAATTACTAATTATACATAATGTGTAATTATGCATAATTACAGATTATATTAAATAACATTAATATTGTGTATAAGATTTGTTACATTTTGTATGACTATATTGATAAACAATTTTATACAGCGAAGCATTGTCTTAAAAATGGATTATATTCGTTGTTAGATCAACCACTGTATTTTCTTTATTTTATCACAAGTTTGTTTTTTTTTAGAAAATATATAACAATTTTATTTAATACGTTCCATGTTATCGACTCTTATATCTATATTAACATTATTTCATAAATTTTTATTATTATTAATACAGGCTTTTTGTTTGTTTGTTTTTTTTTCTTCAAAAGAGCACTGAATACTTGAATAAGATTAAATTCTATATATATATATATATATATATATAATAAACAAATATGTCTATCACTCAGCAAAGAAACATTTTTGGAGATTCAAGGCATTAATGCCAAGTTATATGATTTAATTGATCTATTAAAAAGAAACAAGTTTCAATATAAGTTTGATCATTCTAATTTATAGTATAAATGTATACTTTCATCACTTTTCTTTTTTATACAGCTAAAAATATGACTTTTCTTTTCTTCTTTTTTATGTATCAAATTATTTAACATTAGCACAGCTCATTGTATTATATAAAATTGTTTCTTGGAATGCACAAGCACATATACAATGTTATCATCTTTCTCTCTATCTCTCTTTCTAACTTTCTATTTGTATTATTATTTTTAATAAAAAAAAAAAAAAAAGAAAACTGTTGTTATTTCCACTTGTTTTCTTTTTCTTCAAAATATTAACAGCAGGAATCTTTATAAATCGCAAATATATCTTCAACGATAGACCTCCTTATTATCTTACATTAGATATTTTTCATACAAATATTATAAACTTTATCTTTTAAACAATATTGAAACAATAACATTTAAAAGAATTATGAAAAAAATAAAAGTGTGTTAACCAAAATATGCGCCGCAATGAGAACAACGACGGGTCTTCAATAAAAGACAACAAAGTATTCCAACCGGAAAGAATAAAATAGCGCATAACAGACCCAAGCATGTATAATCGTCTTCCATAACCCCTACCTAAATTTATGTAACAAAAAACAAATCATCATCATTTTAATTATACCCTGTCGATAACAACAAGGATTCTCATTATTTCATAATAGAATACAATTGGATAATATGTTTTTTTTTTTTTTAATGTGTATTATATCAAATTTAAAAATACTTACTCTACATGCTGGACAACCTCCAACGAGAATTACTTCTGGTACAACTATTGTCGTAGTAGGTTGAATTGTTTGTGTAGCTCCATAGGATGGTATGTTACTACCTTGATATTGACTTGGATAATATCCAGGAGGTGGTTGCCATGAAACGTTTTCTACGAATAGACATTTATATATATATATATTTGATTTTTAATTTAATTAAAAAGAAACTTATATCTACGACTTAGTTTTAATGACATCATCATGATAAAAGGAATGTTATTATCTTATTGATTACAACCTGTATTATATTACACTTGATATCTCATCAAAATTTGTCTAATATGCTATATTTTTGCATTAATAATAATTAATAAGATAATTTAAAAAAAAATAAAATAAAAAGATAACCTCTAAATGAGATATTGTATGATTAAAAAAAGAAGAAATAAAACAATGTTGAACAAATTGCGTGTGAAAATAATTAATTGCATTTTCAATGATAAATAACCTAATTTGTTTTTTTGTACGTATAAATATTGTACATACCCGTTGGTGCAGTTGCAGGAGAATAAGGAGGTGGCTTGTCAGCTGGAGAATTAAGTAATTTGCTCTCCATAATCAAAATATACAAAATTACATATGACAATATTCAACGACCAATAATATAAATATAATACTAAATCTCAAAAGATTATGTGATCATATGAACACTGGATAAACGCCCCCCTACTAGTGAAGCCAGATCGCGAAACATTTCTACCCCTTCTCTCGAGCCCAGCACGTCTCGCACACAACGAAATGTTACGTGTCGGTGTGTCGGGAAACCGAAAGAAGCCGAGGGAAGCCGAGGTTAGCTGTGCGACAGAGGAGAAATACATGAACACTAAACACATTGTTTTACACTTCGGATTCCTTCGGCTTCTTTCGGTTTCCCGACACACCGACACGTAACATTTCGTTGTGTGCGAGGCATGCTGGGCTCGAGAGAAGGGGTAAAAATGTTCCGCGATCTGACTTCACTGCCCCCTACACTCCTTTTCAATACATATGTGTATATATGTGTGTGTGTATGTTTCTTCTTTTAATTACTTGACAGATAGTGCGCATGACAACAAACAAATAAAAATACTTGCATCAAAATCTTCTGACATTCTTTCAACACTAATTCTAATAACGAACATTATACAATGAAACAATTATTATAATTAATTTTAAATAGTTTGAAAAATTATCTTGTATTTATCTTTTTTTCTTTGTCAATGTAGTTTTTAAAGATACTTTTAATTTATATATTTGATATATAATAATTATTGAATATAAAGAAATGTTTCTATGATTTTATATAAAATGCAACAACATTTTTAAAGTTCATCAATTGTTATGATTTTGTTTATATTTTTATTTATAGGTTAGACATTTAAATAAAATTGCTGTCATATAAATATGTCAATCAAATATATAAAAAGATATATATATATATATATATATCTATAGATAGAACATATAATATGCAATTATAATATGAAATAAAACAATTGATAATTATTAATTAATACAATTGCAAATTTTTATGAGATTTACCTGTTGTTAATTAAAAAAAAAAAAGAAAACAAATTGAAATATAAAATCGTTTGTTTGATTAGTCATATTTATACGAGAGAAATGAATTCTTATAAAATATTTCTGATTGGTTAATCCACGAGATATTGTTCTCTGATTGGTGGAGATTCATGTGAATAACACAAATTGAATATTATAGTTGGAAAGAAGTGTATAAAGAAGAAGAGAAAAATAATTTATAGTGAAGGACTGATAGTGTGTGACGTTGGTTGAATTTGTTTTAAACTATTGTAGTTTATTATCAATAACTATATTTATGACGGAAAATGTATTGCAAAACGGCATGGAGCCTTTTCAGGTATTACAGTTTTTTTTTTTGTCAATCTAATATTTAAGCATATTAATATGATTAACTTTATGTTAAACTAAGGTTAGAATAACAATATTGTTGATTTAAATAATAATAACAATTATTTTTGTTTCATTTAAATTGTTGTTTTTGTTTTTGTTTTTCACAGAATCCTGATTGCATTCCTTTGGAAGACTTGATATTAACAATTAAAACTGGTGGTATTCCATATTTAGTTCCTGCTTTAGTAAGATCATTATTTCATAATATTTCAATACTTCTATCAATTGTTTCTTAATATCTTGTATTAATTATTGAATATTATTGTTAATGAAAATTTGTTTAAGGATGAAAAATGGGTTGAAGAACGATACTTTTTGCATTATGAAATTCCAAATATTTATGACAGTAATGGGAGTGAAATTTTGGGTGCTAAAGAACATTGGATTGAAATAATGGGTTATATGATTGATGATTTAAAATGGGTTCTCACTATTCCATTTTACAGGTATCCATATGCATATTTATATTCTATTTTGTTATAATTTTGAAATTGTATTATTGTTTGTTTAGGTTTTGGTCAAATGTTGTATTTAATAGTTCAATATTAGATGCATTGGTATCTTTCTTACAAGAAGCTCCACCATATTATGCTTTGGAAAGTTTTCCTAATGATACTGAAATGCAAAATACTTTAGAAACATTACGTCATTATGTACTTTTGATTTTCACTCGTCTCGTTACAAATAAGGAAAGTCCTACGGAATATATGACAATTTCATATCTTGGAAAATTGTTGTACGATCATTTTATATTTACTGTACCTATTATTTATGATTTGTGCCAATTATATGGTCGTGAAAATGAAAAAACAGTATCAAAAATTTTAAATAGTTTGTTCACTCTTCAATCATTGTACAATGATGATATTCAAAGATCTGTTCCTTATCTTGTTGAGGTAAAATACTTACTCCATCATTTTGATTTTATATTCTTTAACAACATGTTTGTTAACATGCATCAGAGAAAAGATTCCATACAAATGTTTGAATCAATTGTGTTGTGGATATCTGATACTAGTAGCAAACATGTTAACGATATTATACAATGTATTTGTTAATGTAATATATTTATACAGAAATATTATCTTTTTATTTAGGCTTTGAATAATGTAGAAAGAAAATTTCAAGAACGACCTAGTTATTCGTTGGATGAAGCTTTACCACTTTTAAACGAATCACCAATAGAACCACCAACCAAAATTACTTTGTTCTCGTTGGAGGATATGATATTATATGTTTTAGATATATCATCTACGATTACTATATTTTTACAAAATTATCCATTGGCAATTAAAAAATATCGTCATGACAAATTCATAAATGAGTAAGTTAATATCTTGATTTGATAATATATGTTTGTTTAAATAAATTTCATGTTCCTCTTTTATATTAGGATAGTTTCTATATATGAGAATACAATACCTGAGATGTATAAAAAATTGAATGAATTAGCATACAACGAAGAAAATTTAACTAAATTTATAGAACTAAGGCATCGTTTAGATGTCACTAGAATAGAATTATTACATCTTTATCGAACCCTAGTGCATGAGCCTGTGGACAATATACATCAGAAACTGTAAGATTTTATCAATCATTAATCTCTCTCTCTCTCTTTTGCATTTCATAATTTTATGTATTAATACATTTTGTTTGTTTTGTAGTGATACATTAACAGAAGATGAAATAAAGGATCGAGTTGATGATTATTTAAATTTATTAAGTAACGCAATATCGGAAAAAGAATTTATCACAGATTATCATCAATTTTATCCAGTTGGTTTGGACTTGGAAGAATTGTCAAAAATATGCCCTGAATTGTATCCTTCATATAATATCAATGTATTCATTTGTAATCATTTGATTTTATTTATTAACAATATGGACTTAATAATAATTTATCAGAGATACCATAAAACGTAATTATATATTGCAAGCAGTTTATGCTGCTATAGGGGATTCCCAAATTTCATTTATTTTATCTTCTAATGATAAACAAGTAAGTAGATCAAAGAAGATATAAATGTTCTTTAAAATTTGATGATACATTTGAATAAATGAAATTTTAGGAACCTGTAGCAGGGCCTAGTAATATAGAAATGAATCAACCATCAACATCTAAGAATATTTCAACAGAGAATGCAATATCCAAACCTGCCCGAAGATCATCCATTGAAATAGCTTCTCTTATCAGTGAAGTGAAAGATATTTTAAACGATTTAGGAGAAGGTTTTATTCAGGTTGTATATTTGATTGTACAGTTAAAAAAAGAAAAAAGAACAATATAAAATTAATATTATTATTATGAATATTTTAGATGTGTTTGAAACATTATAACTATGATACTGCAGCTGTGATAAATGCTGTTTTAGAACAAACTTTACCATCGCATTTAAGCGAATTAGATTTTTTCTTACCGTACATTCCACCAGATACTGAAGAAGAACAACCTCCTGCAGCACCACCAACCGTAGAAATAAATCACGATATTCTTTCGGATAGGCTTAACATATTTGATAATGATGAGTTTGATATCATGAATAGAGATGATATCGATATGTCGAGAATTCATAAAGGCAAAAGGTAATTATAACATCAAAATACGTAGTTTGTTATTCACAACCGATACCAAAGAGTTACATGTTGTGTTCTCCTGTTACTGTCTTTTAAAGTAGTCACCAGTATTGTGTAGAACCCGTTAGCAGAGCCTGTTCTGTTGATGGTGCAAATGGAATGGTCTACTGCCTGTCGAATCTCTGGAACAGTTCTGAAGAGTGCAGTCACATGAATTGACGGAAATACAGAAATGGATGGAGAAGATTTCTTACGTCATATCGTAACACTGGATGAGACATAGCAGTAGACCGTTCTATTTGCACCATCAACAGAACAGGCTCTGTTGATGGTATACTACACTTTCCACATCGTTGGTAATGGGTTCTATACAATACTGGTGATTACTTTAAAGGACAGTAACAGGTGCAAACATGTAACTCTTTTTTCAACCTACGTATTTTTGATATTTCATCTAAGAGACTACATGTGTTTTCTATTTGTTTCATATTTAGGAAAGATAAATACAGGAATATGAATGAATTATTAAACGATAAATCAGAAATTAGAAAAGTTTCTGACATATATAGTAAATACAGTATGGTTGCTGATAATTATGATGATGAGTATGACGATACTTATGATAGTCATGATGTAAGAGGTACAACGCAAGATGACATAGCAGAATCTAGAGCTTTTACTACTCCTAGGGTTGGTTGATGATTACACACACACACACACATTATTTCAATTGTTATAATTATTTTGTTGATATATTTCGAATATTACTACATGTATTTAACATACAGATTTGTTGTAATATTTTGTTGAAATGAATGATTTCATGATTACAGGTGTTGTTTGCGAAAAATAAAAATATAACAGAGTCCGAAGATGAGAGTGAAACTGACAGTGAAAATGAGAATAATTCTAATGGAGTTATTAATAAAGATAATTTTGTACAAAATCCAGCAGAATTACGTGCTAAAGCTGAACAACGAAGACAAGCTGCTGCTGCTGCTGGACGAGGCAAGAGACCATCAAACGATGTTGTTGGTAAGAATTAGAAATATTTTTCTTTATATATATATATATCTAATATTATATCTTAATAATACATAATACAATATACATTTAGATTGTTTTCTTTTTTTTTTTTCTTTGTATTGTACGCTAATTAAAATATTTGTTCATTAAAAAAATGTTTTTTTTTTAATTCCTCGATAATATATATTAAGAGGAATTTCAAATGAAATAACGATATTAATATTTATATATATATATATATATATATTACTAAGGTTTACATTTATTTTATATATTTTAGGCAAACCTAAGGGCCAAGGGCAAAATAAAGAAGTTACTATTAACAGAGATAAGAAAAATGCTCATAAAGCTACACGGGCTAATCATAATCGTCGAGCTGGTGCCCAATGGAAACAAAGACACGGAATGATACATTCGTGAAATTATTAATTAAAAAAAAAGATAAAGAACAATTTATCCATATATTTCCAACAATGTAAATACTGCCAAAAAGAAAAAAAAAACGATTTTAAGCGCAAAAACTTTCGTATACAATTATTTAACTATAAATGATTTAATTTTGTTAACATACAATTCCGTGACAAACATTTGTCCTATGTTGTGTTGTAAACCTTAGATGAGAGAACAATTCATTTGGTTGTAATATAGTTTACGAAAAATGCCTAATCTATTTAGGCATCAATCGTTTTATTATCCATCATCCTTCCCCCAAAGCCTTAAGAGAATTATTTTATGGATAAAGATGATAATGGAATTGTTAAAAATACATTTTGTATGATTATTATATCCCTAAGTCTTTTATAATTGCTAATAGTATTTTTATATATATCATTGCATGAAGCGTAATTAAAAAGTTATTTTTGTTGTATTAAAAAAAAAAAAAAGAACATCATCAACATTAATGATCTTTCACAATTGTTAATCCTCTTATTCTATTAATTTGACTATTAATCGATTGTTGATATTCTTCTTCTGGTATAGTACCGTTAGGAGATTCAGAAGGATTATGTACAGGCATCAATTGTGTAAAAAGTCCTGTTGTGTTACCGTAATAATCTAATTGTATCATTATCAGAGCGTGTATACTCGGTTTGATATATTCCAGTCTTTTGTCGAGAAACATTGGTAAATCAATAAGTAATTGAGCATGCAATGTTTTCAATTCTTTAGCAGCTGCTTCCTCTATTCTACGTTCTCTCTCCAATTTGGCAATATGACTTGCCGTTCTATCTTTCTTTTCTTGTAACTTTTTAACACGATTGTAAGAATATTTCCATGCTGTTACCAATTCTTCTCTCTTAGCTATAGCTGCGGCAATCAATGCAAATTCATCTCGTAACTTTTTTAATGGATCTATAAATGTTTTGTGACACAATGCTGCCATTTCTTGTACAGTTTTACCGACCTGTTTGCAAATGTCAAAGGAAAAAAGAAAAGAAACTTGTTTCGATAACTCTACAATGAAATTCATGTTACACAGTACCATTGTACAGTTATCACATTGTATTACATACCTGGGTAGTTATTGAATGATACTCTTCGACAATTCTTCTAAATTCATCACTGATATGAGTTAAACCACAAGTAGTTAAATTCATGCTCAAACGTTGATCTGCTCTGTCCAAGTTAACTACAGCTTGGAGATACTTCTTCATTTCTTTCGTTAACTTTCTTATCGTATCCTCAACACTGTCATCAAAATTCATATTAATTAATACATAGAATGAAATAATAAAGGATTTCTTTTAGAATTATTTATAAGAATAGATAATAATCATACTAGATCAATCTCTGTACTGCAACATCCAGTTCTCTATCCTCTGCATGAGAGAGTAGAGGTTGTGCTGGACTTGGTCTTAATGTCAAATGATTTTTTTTCAGCGGATTCCTAATATCATAATAAAATTTTGTAATACATTGTTCCAATACTTTATTAATTTAATTAATTATTATTATTATTATAAAATTTATAATTGTATAATTTGACTTACCACGTCATGTTAAATCTTGACAAAATGAGGTTATCATCATATTTTAAATTCTTCTCAAGATGAAATTTTCGTTCACACGAATATGACGCGGCGACAATGGAATTTCGATGTTAAATTCTTCGATAACCCGAAACATTTGGAGATGTTTATCGTTCTCGTTATCGCAATTGGAAACCGATAAGATTCAAGATTATCTTTTCTTTCATACTTTCACATTTTTCACGCACAAGTATACAATTAACGTTGCATTTATAATCGATTGACATTATTTTCTCGAATTTGTAATAGATGACGTCTTAGCAATCGATAAATTCCTTCCACTTGTTTTTTTTTTTTATCTTTTTGTACAAATCTTACGAGACACTCTTCTAACCTACACAGTACATACTACTCTGCGTGTAAGGATTTCGTTCGAGTTTGCGCATGCGCACTTGAATCTATCTCTCTTTTTGGTATTATAACCTTATTTCATCAATAAGATTATTCGAATCTTTTTATATTATAATAATAATAATTATAATTATAATAATAATCTATAAATATATTATAAATTCTTGTTTATTAGAAATTTATTTTATATTACAATCCATTCAACTTATTATTTCTTATTTTTATTATTTTAATGTATTGTGTGTTAAATTGATTATATTATAAAAAGTAATTTTATTATTTACATAATAATTTGTTAATACATTCACTATCACTTCACATATTTATAACATACTGATATTCATTGAACATTTGCAATTGTGATTGATACAAACAATAAATTTGAACCTATTGAAATCACATTTCCACTTCACCATAGCAAATGTATTAATGTTGACTGAGTTATTGGAGGATTGTAGTAATCTATTAATCTAATGAGATTAGAAATATTGAAAAATGATATAATTCCTGTTATTTTTATCTGATCTAAGATAATATAATATTGGTTAACTATTTTATATTCTAATGATCTATTATAATTAATTCATCTATCCCCCAATCCTCATAACTGTTATCAGGTAAATATCGCCTTATGACAATAGGAATTTTCCTCTGTTTCAATTCTTTCATAGCAATTTGTAAAGGATCAGTTTCACCTTCTAATTCAACCATTACAGGAGCACACATTGCTATCTGTAAAGCTCTTGTCCCTAACACCCTTGCCCTTTCATATCTGCAAATGTATTTAATTAGATATTATGTTTTAAAGCAAGATTGGTTTTATTAATGAATAGATAAAGTAATGGAATTTTACTTAGTCATATATCTTGTGGTTATTCTTTTGTTTCTTTGAACTCCTCCGGATGCTTCTCCTGCAGCTAATAATTCAATATTTTCACCATCCTCCTCTTGTGCTTCCAATTCGATATTATCATCATCATCAACATCATCAAAATCATCGGCAACTCTTAAACAATGTTATTAGGTTATGTTACAAATGCATTGAATTTTTTTAAAGATAAAAGTAAAAGTATTTGAAAGAAATGAATTATTTGTTCTTACTCGTCTCCGTCGAAATCGTCGTCAGCCATAATTATTTATTTATTTATTTATAAAGTTTTATAAAATAAATCTGCACAATAAATATATTTGGATCGTTGACTACACAATAATTCAATGGTTACTAAATATATTTACGTAGTTACGATTTATTTTTGAAAGATGTCGCACATATATTGCATTGGTTACGTAAAAAAAATGTCAGATGTCGCACATGTTGCATTAGATTGTAAAGAATGTTGGTAAAGTAGATTTCGTTTAAATTTGATAAGAACAAGAAAATTTCTACTTGTAAAAATGATTTATTTTATTTGCAATTAATTTTTATCAAATTGCAATAAATTAATATTTAAAATGATAACATTATTGATAGCAAAAGTGTTGGAAAGTATGATTGATGTGAGATAATTATTATGTCCCACTTGTAAGTTTTTTTTTCTTCCTTAAAACATGTTTGTCTTTCAAGGTCAAGGACAGGTAAAGTAAAGAAAGGTCAGTATTCCATATATAAATCGATAGATTCTTTTTTTTATATATATATATATATATATTATATAATTGATTAGAAGGTTAATTGATTTGATTAAGAAAAAGTAATATTAAAAAAAAAAAATGATTTTATCAATTTGCTTTATTCGATTAAAATGTAAATCCATTTCACAAGAAACGATTTATGAAATTTGCATACGATTATTGTTTAATGATTGAAAAACATTGAAATTTCAGGAAGTGTCTCGTTGTTTGATGAATTTGATCCTATTTGATCTTCTTAGAAACAAGTGTGCAAAGATGGAAGATCTTTTTAAGTTACAATTATTAGTAATACATTTAATCCATCTAATGTAAGACTTTTTAAGGTCACACACACATATATGTATATATATACATTCAATTATGCAAGAAACAAATGTTGTTTACAATATTTGATAAAAATATCAATGGTCATATATTGAGCTATAATTAAAACCAAGATTTTTGTTATTTTACATTTTTATCTTTTAAAATATACTAAATATTTTCTATAGTATAGAATAATTATATTTATCATTTAAGTTTAGCAACATTGTTTATGTCAAATTATTACAAAATGTTCCTTTCATTTTAATAGCTGGCTATTATTAAGTTTAGAAACATTTCTTTTAAATAACACTAAATATTTCTTATATTATACAATAATTATATTTATCATTTAAGTTTAGCAACATTGTTTATGTCAAATTATTACACAAAATGTTCCTTTCTTTTTAATAGCTGGCTATTAATCATATCTTTCCTAATATCTACCAAAAAAAAAAAAAAACATAATTTAGTATACTATAAAAGTAATTTTGAAATAAATATTTATCAGTTATAATGATATCATTTTATTGTATCTTACATTGTACACACAATGTTGCAATCGACTTATTAATCAAACGAATTTGGATGATTTCCATTGAAAACAAGTTTTTTTTGTATTAATAATGAACAACACAAAGAAAAAAAAGGGCTTCTGGAAATGTTGTTTGAAAAAAATTGTAATCTCTATTTTATTGTACCTTACATTGTACACACAATGTTGCAATCGACTTATTAATCAAACGAATTTGGATGATTTCCATTGAAA